CATATATAGTTTTTTGTTTGTTTGTTTTTTGTTGTTTTGGTTAGTTTTTTTTTTTTTTGCGAAAACATGCGAGCCCTGGGGTTCTGGAGTCAATTGGACTTGCTATTTCGTTTCATGCTGCCTTCTATCATTTTCACAGCGGACAGTTATAAGCAGAAGCAATCTTAATCGCTCAGCATCCTCCAATCACGGCTCACGATCAGGAATATGACATTTTGAACCATACGTTCACGTGTTTCGTGAGAGGTGCGGAAGATGTCTGAAGGCAACGAATCAATGACGTCTCTGTAACACCAAAGCTCGCATGTTATCGCGAAGTGCACTCAACATGTTTTGATCATGTAGACTGTAACTATTCTTCAGTACGATACCAGATACTTCTCCTTGCTAGCCATGGCAATAACACTCCATATACCGATGACTGGCAAAATGAATTGGGATGGTTGAAAGAAAACACTATAAGTGTGGACAAGGAAAAAGTCTTGCACGAAAAAGTTTTTAGCCACGTATTTTCTTTGTTTTCTAAATTACCTCAGTCTTTACGTCAATTGTATATTAAAAGTCATCAAATAAATTTAAATAGAAAATTTTTTAGTGTTAGAAAATACCTAATGGTTTATGATCCTTTATGTTACTGTTGTAATTTTTCTTGTTGAAGTATATAAATAATTCTTTAAACATAAATAATGCCAATAGCACCGTCTCAATAAGTTAGAAAGCATTGTCCAGTCGAAGTCAGAATGTAGGTCGATCGTGCCAGTTATTCTTCGCGGAGAACCACGTAATGGTCTGGTTTGGCAATGTTGTGTTCATTTGGGTATCCTGTCTAAAGTCCACGAGATGGACTTGAGTTTTTTTTTTCCGCCCGAAAGAACACCGTTGGTTTCGTCGTTGAAAACCTAAATGATGGTGTCTTTTGGGATTCGTCGATTTCTTTTTCTTGCGGTTTAATTGGTTTGCACATTCCCAACTTTTTTCTTCTCTTGAGTTTTCTCGTCTTATTGCGTGAGAAGATAGGTGTGTGACAAGTAAAACCGGCGCTGCAGCAAAGCTATCGACGAAAAAAGGACAGCAGACGTCGGATACAGCGGAAGTAAAAAAAATACAAAAAAAATTTCTTTAATTAATTTTGCAATTGTCCCCCGGATGTAAAGGGCAGGCATTCAGTTTATATATAAACGATGAAACGTACTTGGATTGCTTCACTAATCAGTGCTAAAGTTCTCTATGCGTGGATATGCAAAGCAATACGTACCTCCAAAAATTTTTGTTAATTTGCTTTTTGTGTGTTTGCTTGTAAAATTATTCGACTTCGAGCTTATTGTTCCACTCCTTACCTTCCTTGATCCTGATTGGCAAAGATGACCTTCGTTTCCACATTGCTTAGCGCGAGACTTTTTCTTCCCTTTCTTGGGCGGCTAAACGTTCAAGAGAAAACACCAAAATCATATTGCGTTATTTCACGATAGGTGTTTATTTCTACCATGACTCTATAATGCTTGCGGCAAATGGTTAAGAAAAGATTAAGAACATTCATTTAACGGGGCATATTTTCATTACGACTTGATTCTAGGGACTGATTTCAATTAAAGGCTTTTAAAACAATTTGTGAGTGGTCATCATAAGTTTTGTATCACAGCCGCAAGGGGTGTTGCCAGCATAACAGCATGTCGCTTGCTTCAAAGGTATAGCTTTTCATTTATTACGTTAGAGAGTTTACAATCATTTTTAATCGTGCACAGCACAAGTCATTGTGTGAGAGGCTGTTTGCATTAACGGTGTGTAATACATTGTGGAAAATGCAATCGTGTATTTTGCTCAACAGCATTTATACAATAACACTTTTAGGCAATGATTTCCTCTGTTCGGCACCACTCAATATTTTATACGCAATGGAGACATGTGCCGTGCATCCTATTTCTAGTTTAACTTAATTAATTAATATTGGAACTTGAACAGCCACCGATGGAATGGAACTTCAAAGATTGATCAAAAACAGCATAAATACAATGAATTTCTAAGTATGGGAGAGTGACGATACCGATGTATTATTGCAAATCTAAAATGTCTCCCTGTTTTGAACCGGACGCATTACACCATGGTTTTGTGGAGGATTCAAAGGATAATCCGTGTTGATTGCAAGAGATTAATTAAGGTGACTCCTTGAGAGGTAATGACATACGAACGCTTAGGTGCATTTTTTCCTTCAAGTCTAACGTTTCGAGCAACTCTTTTATTAAAATATGCCGTATTGCCATTCACATTTCAACTGAAACCATCAAACGAACAATACTCGTGCTCAAATGATGGTATACCGAAATACGGTGTAATCGACACACGTTCCGTTTAATCAAAATTTCTGAGGATTCTCAATATATTTGGAATATTCCCTATCCTCGTGTACATGATTTGGATGAGAAGTATGTTTGTCTCGTTTATAAGGATGTGAGGGGAGAGGTAAATAACTTAAGGGGAAAGGTAAATCTACTTTACTTCACTTTTATCCAGGCTTAAGTTTATAATGTGGGACCACCATGTCTACAAGAAGTATTAATCTTGTTAGTTCCATGTAGTGCACCCAAAGAGAATAAAGAATTCTCTATTTTTTTTCCGCTACCATCTGATTTTCCACGCTGACAGACACCCATTGCGGCTTTGACGTGGCCTTGTTCGAAGTTAATCTGCTAACAAGAAATGGATCTTAAAACGATTTCCCTTGGTTTGCAATCGGAGAACTTCTTATCATCCGGAACTCATTTTCTCTATCCCCCGTAAAAAAAGTGTCAGTTCTGATCAAGAGCAATTTGAATAATTTCCCTTATTTGTTTGTTACCTTTCCCCTTTTTCTCAAACTTAAAGATGGAAGACAGTTTTAAATTTGCACAAATACATCAGATACAGAGCAGCCATACAGGAGACAAATCATCTGCTTAAGGCAAGCAAGACAGTTTGCCGTTAAGTGAGTATTTTCTTACCAAATAAAAACTGTTTTATTTCAAACGATAAGTCTGATTAAACGAATGGAGCTTTTCCCGTCTTGTTCCAGATGTATATTCATTTTATCACTTGGAGCAGGGTATTGGTAATAAGACATAATTAGAGGCCAAAATGGCACACATTTTGGAAAAAAAAACATCTGAATTAACTTAAGGCATCAATTTATAGTTCTTTAGATTGAGAAGTACACTGCGGTTGTTGTGGATGGATAATCCCTCAAGCAAGAACAATATTTAAACCCCAGGAAGTATGCTTCCAGGTGTAATCCTGCAAATAGATCGGTCACACGGAGATTGTGAGGAAAGTACCCCTTCGACGACAATTGCTATTTCCGTGGCTTTCCGAAACTTTCGTCCATTTACCTTTGAAAACTTGGGAGCGATGGTTTGGCGAAATAAAATTGGTGATAAACCAAATATTTGTTCCCGGTTCGGGTGAAAAGTGATGTTGGTTACCCTTATTAAGAATTCGGTTTCAGGCCTAAGACTCCAGGGCTATCTATATTATCAGGTAATTTAGTATTATCGACTGAGTTGCTAACATACATTGGCCTACGAGTTTCAAAGCTGAGCGAATGGAGGAATTGTGGGTTGTGTGTGTGTTTACATGCGGTAAATGGGGCTACACTATTGGTGGCAACATAGTAACAAGAAAAACAATCACGAACTAGTTCAATAAAAAGCGTTCAATCATACCGTGGGAATTCAGAGTGCCGAGTTGAAAGATAAATTTTCCTTCTGCGGCTTTCCGAACTGCGTAGATGTAGATGCATTTATTTGTATTGTTGCCGATATATCTCTCCTAAGACGAGTATTCATAAAAGAAAAGCGATTTTTTTTGGTTTACGCGGGGAGGGAGAGAGATTCAGTGCTACTGGTATCGTTAACCAGACATCTCTCTTAAGACGAGTATACTTTAAAGAAAAGTAATCTTTTGTTTTTGACCTTTTCTTTAGCGCGTAGGGAGGGGGGGGGAAGGGGTTGAGGGGAATTCACATGTAAAAGTATTATGATAACAAGACAATCTTCATCTCCCTCGGTTGCAAGTCACGGATTAAGGTCTCCCCTAAGGTTTCAAGACTAAGAGCAAGATCGGTTTTATAAATCCAAGAAAAACAGTTTAAAAGCTTTTATCAGTCTGTTATTAACAGTATTCAGACCTTGTGAGGTCTTCAAAATTCTCTTCGACACTGAGATTGACGCAATTTTCCCGTATCCGCTTTCAATGGAGTCTGGATGGCTAAACGGAAATCTTAGATTCAAATAAGAAGCTCAATATTTAATGATCTGGACATTGACCTTCTAAAGAAGCCTTGAGAAACTACGCCACTCCTTAAAGTCATCACGAATACAAGTAATGTGCGAATTAAAAAGAATTATTTAAGAAACTCTCTTCCTCCCCTCTTCGAAAACAGAGAACTAGAACATTGAACAGGAACTTTTGGTCAGGAAGATATCGTGAGTGAGGCAGAAAACTTTCAGGAGGCTACGAATAACGAATTAAGATGTTCACATGGGTCAAATAATAGAAACGCGATGAATTCAATTTGTGATGGAATGGAGAGACTCTTATAGATTTGCTCTGAATTGTCATTAAAAGTTAGGAAATGCTCCTTAGCTTGTATTTTGGAAAGCATTCGAGGAACAGCGAAATTTTAATTACTTTCTGTACTTTAATTAAAGGAGCTAAAAGGTCTTGTGATGATATATTTATGTTGGCGTCTTGTCAATAGCTACTGAGCATTATATTTTGTCTGCGACAAATCCATAGACAACAGTCCTGTGTTTGCAATTGGTGGCCCTTATACGATGCAACAGCCTCATTCTCGCCAGGCTTAGTTGTGTAATCTTGCTTTCCATTTAGCCGGCCGGCTGAGTACCCAATTATCAAACATATAGTGAAATTCGTTAAATAGGACCAGTTCAAAACCGCAAAAGGTTAAACATAAAGAATTTGGAACTCTGTCAAGAAGTCTGAAGATTGATTTTTCCTGTTTTGTCTGTTTAACAATCCTTTGTAGGTGAGGACGTTGAAAGCTCAGTCTTACACATATACCAACGTTATCGTAAAAATGCCTGTTGGATGGAACTGGGACAAATGCCCTTCGCTACGGCTTGCCGCATTTTGATCTAGCTCTAAGCATTGTCCTCTGATCAGTAAATTTAAAGCCGTGTAAGATGAACAATTTCCAAAGTAAGGCGACTCCCCATTTTAAGTCGTGTTTCATTTAATTAGTGCAGTTAGATTGACTAATGAGGAGATGAACTTGCTACTAATGAGGTAGTCACAAAACTAGAGGTCTATCATGTCTTTATTGCTTACCCTGCTCTCTGCTGCTTCTAGTAGAAGAAGAACAACCAAAATTACACTAAGAAATTGAAGCCAGGATTTTCTTGATTCAGCCATGTTTATCTGTTAGGTAAATGCAAAATAAAACGTTAGGACCTGAGTCACTGAAAATGGACAGGACAAGGAGGGCAAGGAAAGCCAAGAGAAAGGCATTATCTTCCACCTGTCTCGTTTGCAAATCTAACACCCAAAAAATATTAACGTCGAGGATTCGAACTTAAACTTATAAACCAGCTGTACGGAAACTTGCTTAGAGTATCATTGCCTGTAAAGCAGCTTCTTATTTTAGATATAAAGCAAATCTGGACCTCTGAAAGACACGATGATCATAAATCTATTCACTTTCAATTTACTTGAGTTCGTACCATCTGCACCATGACCAACCTGATGTTTCAAGCTTTTTTACGTGGAATGGCTGAGCTATGCACCATCGTAAGCAATTAGAACAGGATGTGTTGCTAATAGACGTTCAGTTAAATTCTTGCAAATTAATTTAACAAATTGGTTACCTCCAGACCTCTGATCAAGAGTGGTAAAATCCCTCTTTTTGAAGCTACTGGATAAATTTTTCATTCAAATTGTTCCCGGTATAACAAGGTTCTCATTCAAACGCGACTGAGATGCGACTGATGACCGCAAGACACTCAAATGAGTTAAATAGGGACATCCTCAACTAATAACTGCAGGGTGTCAATTGTTAAAAATCTATACTTCTAAACCTCTTACTATTCACTAATTTCAAGTTTACTGTAATCTAAGACTCCGGAAATGCTTTTTGAAAAGTGTCGTTCATGCTCTATTTAGACCGATTATTTCAATGATATATTACCCTAATAAAATTTACTGGATATGTTATTCCTATGTTTAGCCCTATGTTTCACGATTACAGGCGGTGGCTATTTCATTCTCCTGGATGTCCAGAAAGTTCGCGGAAAACTGTCGAAAAGGTAAAGCCGGGTTACCGTTATATTTATGAGATCTAAAGAGTTACCAGCATTTCTTCTGATAAAGCTCTAAAAACTTTAGTTTATTTTGATCCCATTGCAATATTTGAAAACGGAAGTATGGAGGGTTTAAGACGTCTCCAAAACGTCTCTTAACATACGTAGTTACGTAGTTGCTGGGAATAACATTATAAATTAGCCTATGAACGATGAATGAACAGGCAGTTTGAGTAAACTAAGCAACTAGGGATGTGGTTGTTAATCTAACAAGATCATGCGCAAGACATAATCCGACAAAATCTGTTGAGAGAAAATCTACGGAGCGATTTGCGTGAGGGGCTGAGTTAACTTGTTAATTTTCACTTCCTATGAGGTAATTCACAGTTTTCCACGAAAAAAAGCAGATTTTCAGAGTATGCTTGTGGTCGCTTAAGGCATACACTAGGATGGATAACTACTGGAGAGGACAATTATACCTGTAATTTTCTTGAGACTGAAAACTTATCTTGACAGAGATTTACTTTATTAGATACTTATGTTGTCGGCGGCCTCTGATGACACCGGAAATTGGTCGAATTCTATGGGGAAATAAAAAAACTGAAGATGGAAATCTGCGCGAATTTCAACTTCATCAAACATCATATCGTGTAATGTTGGGGCCAATGACAGAGCATTTTAAATCAAAGTGTTATGTAAACTTTACGGAAGATACAAACTGCTTTACATTGGTCAGGTATTGCATGAGGTTCTGATAGTATTTCAGTCTACGTTTTTCAATTGGTTTACCTATATTTGGAATAATTGTAAAATCCCAAAGTATTGACAAGGCTGTGTCTCAGGCAAGTATAAATAAAAACGGTTCAAATATCATCTCCCTAAACGCTTATACAAACGTCTCTGTATGAGCTTACTTCGCGACTTCAAAGGGAGTCGAATTTTAAACAGACGGCTGAAACGTCACGCGAGCCCACAGTGAGAAGCAGCGAGGAACAAGTATTTGTAACATGTGTTAATAAACGGTGATAAAAAGAGGAGATGACCTGGTTTTTTTGTAGCTTTAAAATACTCCATTTTTAAAAGGAAATTTTCAATTTTATTATTAACTGTAGCTATGCGTAGAAAATTAAGAGTCAAAAGGTTGGAAATTATTATCAGTAGTAAGCTTTATTGAGATGAGAACCAAAATTGATCTTGAGTATTCTGTGTCACTATGGCTTTTCACGCACGTATCGTCTTTATTCTGACTTGCAAAACCTGCTGAGCTCCTCGAGCTCCTCGAAAAGGTGTTTCATCTCGCGGAGGTGGGAGGGGGGGAGGTTATAACGGAAACATGCAAAAAAGGTAAAGACAAAAACAAATCAACGACTACAGGGAAGAATTACCACAAACAATTCGCCAAATTCTAGGATAGTACATATTCGGTAAATGAAACTTTCCCTGTTTTGACGACACAGCCTCACTCGGGTAATTTAGAAAAGACCAGTGTGATTTGGTACAACAGTAAATAACACGATATGGCTTGTGGGATGTTTCCGCAAAGAAGTCAAAGAAATCTTAGAATCTGGGCTACCAAATATAAACCGCCCAGGCATCGTTAACAAGGTTGGAATTTGGTTGTAAAAACAAATCAATGAAACCTTATGATTATCATACGTTGAAGTGAACTCCTAATTTGCACATTGGCAGAGAGCACATTTCTCTTAACTATAGCAATTTTATCGAATGTGAATGATGAGTGAGCTGCCTTAATTTTTTTTTAGAGTTGCAAACAGACAGTGTAATCGGAAAGTTGTCCGAAATCGGACACCATGAATCCACCAATCACAGAACTGATTACAGTAATCGAAGAAATGGCATATCATCCCACGCTAGGGATTTCCGAAAAAAAGAAAGCCGGAGAAGATTGGAATCACAGGCCCTTCCTTAGATAAATACATTTTGAACACATTTTGTTTTCTCGGAAATTTGAATCGTTATGATTAATTGATAACAGGACATCGTGTTGAGTCCGAATAACACAAGAAAACCGTCTGAGTGCTAATGGACTTGAACCAACAACAGACTCAACTTAGGTAGGACACCAGGTTCGGTGAGCGCTCTCACCATTGCGCATGCCCTACTTCCCATTTTTCGCGTCTGAACTTGTAAAAACTCAAGTGAAAGCTTCATGAATGAGGTACATACGATATTTACTCAGTCAAACAAAAGTCGCGGTTTATTCGAAAAGCCACTTGCTGCACTCCTCGCCAAACAACTTAAAAGCGCCAAAAACGATGAAGATTTAAGGTTTTGCCACCCTAACCAAATAAAGGCCGGCTTGTGCAAAGAATTGATGCTATCTTTTACTGTCTATGAAAAGGACAATAATCTGGTGCGAATATTCAAGAACGTTTAGTCGCCAATTCTAAGGGCTTTTGTTCCAAAAATAACATTAATCAAATATGATTGATATATTCAACGACGTAATTAGAGTAATATAAGAAACATCAACGACTTGCTATTAACATATCATTAACACTAAAGCTAAAACTTGCTAAGCTCTGATAAGAAGGGGTAATGGTAGCGACTGTCTGTGGCCCAAGAATGTTGAGTCCGGTTTGGGAGCAAGTAAGCAAGTAACTGTCTCTGAGAGGGACAGTTCCAATGGAAGTGTTTAAGGTTTCCTCACCCCACATCACCTAATGGTTCCACCATTTCGTGAGATAAGAATTATGATTTGAACAGCGCTACTGATCGTAACATAACGAGATATGCGTAAGGCGGCCTAACACTGACAGCCCTAAACTGTCTCATGACCATGCTGGTAAAACGAGAATAAACTAAATGAAGATAAAGGTCATCCGAAATAAGCCGATTTATCGTAAAAAGTCGCCGACTGCCTTGTATTTGATTACCACTCACGAGTACAAATATAGAGGACGTCGATAAACTCGTGTCATGTTTGAAACACGCTTTAAAACACGTGCAAGTATTGCTAAATATATCGAGAATACTAGATTGGTCAAGAGTTCCCTAATTGAACATTTTCCAATGAGGAAAAGAGTGACTTTATATCTTCCGTTGAGACCATCGAAATGTTTTAAAGAAGAAAAAGGCCAGAGCTTATCTGCATCTGAGTAAGTTTCAACTTTCCCAATCTAACTTGCAAACAGCATCACTTATGCCTTTCAACTAACAAGTTGAGTGATTTTGCAAATCTAATTTTACCTCAGGGAAATGTATTCGTGAATGATGAGTTGCTTGAAGATTTATCGAAACGGTTCAATTGTATGCGTAAGGCAACTAAGTAGGTAGAACTGCAAGTGTGAAATGTAATGAACAACCGCTCACGTCCAAGTAGTCATCTGATGTCGTCAATGAGATTAATTACCATGACGACATCAGGTGACTACTAAGAGCACGAGATTGAGGCCAAAAATGTATGAGTGATGAGTGCGTGGCTCTATGAAATAGCTGCCTTACAAATTAAGAACATGAATCGGTGAGGAATTCCGAAAAATATCAACGTTAGGGACAGTTCTTTGAACGCTCCTAAAATACAATAAAAGGGAAGGATATGGACTGACCATGCCAGAATCGTGCACTGCTCTCTTTAAAATTTGCTTTCCGCCTGTAGGAATGCGCTTTTATGATACAACATTCAACTCAACAGGCTAGATAACTACCTTTTGGTTGACGTAAAGGACGGTGTTGCTATTTGTAACTAAAAGACCAAGATTAAATCAAAACCAGATAGTACAAAGATACAAAGAAAATTCGATTTTTTTCATAAATGAACTGCTTTAAAGCCACTACGCAAGGGTCCTGCTAATATTTCAGGCTTTCAAGCAGTCTTACCGACGGCCAAGATTTTGTTGAAGACGAGTTTTTTTTTTTTTAATCTCTTAATGGATATTGTAATTGATCAAATGATATTTTCTGCCCCTCCAAACCGAACCCTCCCCCCCTCCCCTTCCCTTGCAAAACGAGAGATAGTCATGGACCTACAATGGCGTAAAAAGTGGGAAAGGGAAGAGGACGAAGAGGGGCTTGACGAGACAGGAGCAGGGGGCGTGTGCACTCTGCAAAGTAAATATGATTTTTCCGAGTACCATAAATATTCGCGAACCTTCCAATGAAAGGAAATGCAAAGTATAAAATACATTTAATTAATGGTCTTTGATGGGACTAGCAATCGAGAAATAATCGATAATGTGCTCCAGATGTTATCTAATCTGCTGACGATTGAGTTACAAGTTACCAGATAGGTGTTACAAGTTACCACCTAATGTACACAATACATTATCTTGACTGTTAGCGGCTATATCCCGGATTTAAGATGTATGCATCGTAGCTGAAACCGAGACAGGCGAATCTTCCCCTAAATCAGTTCACCAAATTCCGAAAAAAGTACAACGATCGATGAAAGGAAGTTAAAAAGTGATCGTCATGATCATGATCATTTCCTAAGACCATGAAAGAGCCATTGACCTTTAGAAACGATTTTTATAACGCAGATATAGCCTAATGAGGGAAGCATACCAGACTTTTCAATGTTCCTGTTCTCCAATCTTTCTGATCAACATCGCAATACATGGCTCTCAACCAAGGTCAATAAGTTTCATCCGCAGACTGTATACCGAACGAAAAAGCTGTAAACTGATAAAAAATACCTGTGATCTTGCAAATTATTGACGATAACTTCCAATTTCCTCGCGATAATGATAATCGCGAATAGTTATTCATTACATAATCCAGATATCAACATGTTAACAATTCCGTGATGGTATTTTTTTTTCTAATCGTGTTATAAATGCACATAAAGTTATTTAAGATCAGAAAATCCCTGGAAATGGGATTCAAAAAGAAGACTTAAGCCATAGTTGGCCCGCAAACAAGTTCCAAGCATTCAAGCAAGGGAAAAGAAAACCCTATGGTCGACCTCGTGATATTTTGAAAGTCAACAAGGGACGCTTAGCGCTTGACGTGAAACTCCTCAAGAAAGCAGAGCAGCAACTCACTCAACCACACCGGTGAGTAGCCCTTCGCTTTCAAAGTAAACAAAAAAGGATATGTGCGTGTTGGCCAAAGGTACACTTTCCTAGATACCGCCCTTTTGGAAAAGTAGAAAAACATCTTATCGGCTTTCGCAACCGGTTTGAGAAAGTTCGTTTACGCAAACTGTAGCGATTCCTCGTGGAACGGATTAAGTTTTTGGATTTCCTGGTTGAAATACAAACTTTGACAGCGTGTGGATCTAACCATCGATCACTGCAACATAATTTTATTTGGCACGCACACTACAAATTTTTATCACTGCCCAGATTGCAGTGTATTACGTTGTAACACAACATCAAAATGTCAAGCCCATATCGTCAAGTTTCCAGCGATTCAAAAAAAAAAAATGGACTTTACCTTCAACGGTTACGATGTGATGGGAGCCTTCCAATGAACAGTTTGTAGGCTTGCACGCAGGGTCAAACTAAAGTGTCGTGTTATGAACAATCCTTTATATATACATTGCTCCAGCCCATCGTGACAACCGCTGTCTGTATGATTTACCCCATGTGGAGTTATGGCATTACAGCTAAGGAGCGTAATTAACGGAATAGATTAGTGAAGTAGTAGAGCTTCTAGAAGTTCACCTGGGAAACTCGGAACCACAGTATTAAGTCCCTCGTTACAGGATGTTTGTACCCAGAGGATGATTTCCGCAAATCTTGAGTACTTTCTTTCCCAAGCCATTGTGAATTCTGACTCACTGGTGGAGTTTGAACTCACGTTTTATTCAGCAATTCTAGAGTACCGGAACTTTAGTCTTTCTGTTACTATAGGAGTAGCAATGAGATGTTCATGTCAGATGTGGCTGCCTCTTGCCTGTACTTTGTGTTCCATACCTATGTGTATAATATACATGTATCATTTTAATATTTCACAGAAGCCTTTCTTAGATATGACGAGGTTGCTGACTGCCTCCTGTACACGTCATAGGTAATATGCATTTCAAACGAGCTATAAACGCTGAACTCACGACAACACGTGTTTAAAGCCTAAAGTATTTTTTGGAAAGCCTTCCCCGAGTACGCGATATTAGACATATAAACTTTTACTTGTTAGAAATTTTCAGGAAATGCCATGAATGATTCTTATTTCACCAAGCATTGGACCTCACATTACTTTGTACTTAATGCTATCGACACTCGTTAGTTTAGGAAAAATTTTAATGTGACAGCTACTTGGACACGAATTCTTTTAAAAAAATATTTCTTGAGTATAGTGTTGAGGACACGTGCTGAAAAATTCTTTGGTGTTAGATTGCTTCCTTCCGGGGAGAGGGTAAAGGGCGTCTGTCAGAGAAAAGGCGCTAACAGAAGACTTGTGACAAATCATATACAGAGATTTTACGAGCACGTTTGTTGTGCGCAAACTGCAGGAGTTTTCGTTGTCTGTTTTTCATCTGTTTGAGCAATACCTTTGGTACATTTGTGTTTGTTGTCAAAACAAAATTTTTTTCCGTTTTCGTTTCGCCGTTTAAGGTTCATGAAATATTGAACTGGAGAGCGAGCGAAGTCAGAGGTAAATTCGGCCGTTTTCTTTCAATTTGCGCTTTTTGTGAAAGTTCATCCGATGAAATTAACTAAAGCAAAAGAAACTGCAACGGCGACAACAATTACAACAACAACAGCAACGGCGACAACAATTACTACAACAACTGTGACAACAGTGACATACTGCCTCAGCGCAAAAATCCTATTTGACCTGATTAATCGCCCAGCCTATGTTCTCAAAATCTGAAAAAATCCTTAGATGTTAGAGTGATCAACTGTCAACCCTCTCCAGGCGTCGAATATTCAAATGTATCAAATTTAGCTATCTTGACAGACCCTGTACATGGCGTGATTGATCAGTGCTATGTAAACATTATGATGATGATGATGTCTCTTAATCAGTTTCCAAACATTTTTTAGAGCAGGTTTGCAGTGTTTTGGGGGGCGAAAATTTAAGAGTGGGCGGAAATCTGTTTCCCAACTGAGCTAAACAGCTCTGCGTGATTCAAGGTAGTAAAAGAAGCCGACAAAAACAATTAAGAAAATAACTCTAACGGATTACTGACTCGCAATTTCCTTCTGTCGCTAACGAGGGAGATTGTGGTCACTATAATAATACAAAGATGATGTCTTAAGTCAGCCTTTACGTCACGAGCCTGCTTATGAAAGACGTCGAATATCAATTTGTAAAATTGACTGTTCTTCATATTTGTAAGATCGTTTCTCTGCCTGGCTATTGACGAACGGCTTACGGCACGCTATTACCTGTGCTTAAATTTTTTTGCCTCTGGGGTTCAAATTGACCAACTTGTCAATTTCAGTCCACGTGAAACATACTAATTATCGAGCTCACTCTCTAGCACTTTCCAATTAGTTTCAGAGATGGAGAATGGAGCAATATTCTGTTTCACAATTACCTGGGAGCTGTTGCACCCCACAGGATTGTGCAATGTTCTGTTTTGCGGCTATCAGAGAGCTGTTGTACCCTTAGGATCATGCGAGTCCTCTGTTTGCAAAGGAGTCTGTGCTAACTGAAAGTGCGTTTTTGTACAGTAAATCACATCGGAGAAGAAACACGGAGAGTTAAAATTTTTAATTTATATGAGTACTCACTTACAGTTTGAAACATTTTTATGCTACTTGTTGCATGCAGGGAATTGACCATGGATCTTCCTTCTCTTTCGTGGCCCTGGATGCCTGTGCGAGACAGGAGCATGTTTTACCTGAAATGTTCTTAAGTTAGCCGTGTGACCATTTACTCCAAATCCAACGTGAAAAAAAAAAGATTATTAGCATCCAAGGAACAGCTAGACAACTAAATCCAATCCTCTTAGCCCAGGCTTTCTCAGTCCTTATCTCGCTGCCCGATTAGTCCCGATTTCCACCCTCTTCGCAGCAGGTGTCAACTCTGAGACGCCCAAAAGGCGATATTTCTTCCTTCCTCCGTATTCCATTTAGGAAAACGCCATACGGACGCATGGCGTGGTTGGCGTGCTATTTAGATTTACTTCTCTCTCGGCGTACACTACATGAACACGTGTTCCGCGTTCAAAGAGTAAGTTTGGTCAAGCACGACTCAAAGTGTTGAGTAGCACGATCAAGGTCATAAGATGACTGCTCCAAACACGTACTGTAGGGTTTCACGACGATACCTATCTCGTTACAGTCACGTAATTCTTACAAGACTCTTACAAAGCTAAGACTCACATACGTCCATCGCTGATTGAAAAAAACCTTTTCAATATCAATTGGGGACAAGGTCACCGGCAGAATATATTGCCGATGGGTGACCTGCTCCGTTATTGAAGGCTACTAAGAATATTTTACCTGAAATAAGACCAAAAGATAAACCTTTCAGCACTAAAGTACGGGTTATTAGATGAAATACAAGGGCGGCATCAGACAACATTTTACGTGGAAGCCGAACAATATTGACAAATGCAACATGCTCGCAATAATTTGATGAGTTCTGCATTCAAGGAAGAAGAAAAACTTCTTCCCAGCCTCCCTAAATACTCAGTTTACTGGATAATTTTTAATCATTTTTTCAAGAATAACGCTCTTTTTCATTTTTCCTTACACATTTTACACGCCAAGCCCAGCACTAATGTGTAACGGTGTCAGTGATGAAGATTTTTGGTCTTCAGATAGCTCAATCTGAAGCTTCCCTACCTTTGTTTGACCGGGTTGTTCGTTGGCAACCTTATCTCTTTTCAATATAAAGGCAAGAGCCGAACTAAACTTAAATAATTTTACAGAGGATCAGATAGTAGAACGGTAAATGTAGGATCGATTCACACGTCATCATTAATTTGTTGTAAAAAACGAACAACACGATACCGGCCCCGAGAGCCCTGCTCTACAAAATCGTTCGAACGAGTAACTGGTCATTTCATTGCGATGGAGGAAGCTGGTTCGCCTTTTGTGAATCTTAATCTGCTCAATGCTGATCTTGTCACTGAAATCTTCCATCGCTATTTGGTCTCCTCCCACCTAAAGATAATATCTATGTCGCCATTAAATCTAAAAATACTTGGCAATCCTTCTAAGAAGCCTCGCGACAGGACGTAAAACAGCAAGGACATCTGTCGAAAGAAAAAGTATGAACGCCTTAAAGATAACGTGTACTGCCTGTAATACAGCAATTGCCATTCACACGCGATCCTATTGGGAACGAAAGGCAACAAGATGACAAATTTCCTGGCTGTTCTCTGCAAAACAACAAAATTAGAGCGATACAAATTCATTTATCTGAATCGATCCCAACAATTGGCATATCACCATGTATGATGATATGTCATCACTATTATCACCATTCTTATCAAGGTCTGTTTTTGGAGCTCTTACAGGTTTACTGTCCTTTCTTGCCAGACGTTATGATGCACAGGGTTGTCGGGGGCGCTTCGAATTCTTTGTCGTCATAATTGTAAGTTTAATTGCAGTGGATGTTTTCCTCGCGACTGTACTATCCTCCCTTTTCTTTACAAAAATCCCCAGATTAAGGGCGCAAAGGTCGTTTTGGTTACGTAAACCATCGTTTTCAACAAGCTTATTATTTAAACTGGTTGAAGACTTTTTTCTACCCTTCGTGTATAGTGCGCACCACAGCCCATTTTCAACAAGGTCGTCGCTGCGTGCATTTTGTTGAAAAATATTTGGACATTTAAAGGCCTAAATAAAAGGAGTCATGTTATTCAAGTTAACCATCTTCTCAAGATGCCGGTGGTGGTAACTGGACTAAAAGGAGTGCAATCCTACGAGTGACAGAGCGATTAACTCTAAATTGGCCAAACGCGTAGAGCGAGGCTCGGGAGCAAAAATTACTGTTAAAATTATCCTAGAGTTGTATTTAACAAACTCGTACTACTAATTAATTGTGTCAATGAAAAGTACAAGGAACACGCTATGTAAATTTTTGAAAAGAGAGAAAAAACAAAATTATTGCATCATCTCTTTAAAAATCTTATCAGTGCTGCATTAACGAAAAGGTATCCTCCAGGAACCAATCTTTTTCTGATCATACTACTAATTATACTACTATTATAGTCTCCGTCATGGAAGAGCTAATGAAAAAAACACTTTACTTACTCGGTCGAAAATAATCTTCAAATGTTGGCAAGTATTCGCCGCCAATTTGGAAACCACGCCTGGCTGCAGACACAAAACCATAACACGCTATTCACAAACAGCTGTTGTTCCAGTTAACGCAAGAAATCACTATTTGAATCAAATTTGAGGTAAATCGATGATGATAGTTTGGCCAGTTTATAGGCAGACATTGACTTCTTACAAAAGTTGTTTTCTTTCATTATCGTTTTCAGACCGAAGCTCGAAATTCATTAGCTGATAACGTTGGCTGCTTCAATCTCATAATTAGCAGTTGACCTGTTCGATTACAAGCTAAGCAGCACAGCGATTAGAAGCTCAAATTGGCCATTTAGGTCATACAACAGCCAATAAATCTAGAAACAAAAAAGAGATCAGAACTAGTTGGGTCGGCGGACATTCTTACAAACAATCAACTCTTGCT